TCAAACAAATGAAAATGAAATTGATCCAGAAGAAGTATCTATTAGATTTTTAAGTGTAATCAAAATAAACTTTTTTTTTTTCACTTAAGATACTATCAACATTTCTCGATAATAATTTTAAGATCACAGATTATCATAAATCATTTCAATCAATAATTCTCAAATTTGATTTCATTAAATTAATTCAATCTTTTTCAATTGTTACTTAAACAATATTATCATAGAATTCAGAGTTCTATCGAACCCAATTATACTAATTAAAAGGAAAATATTAATTAGTCCTCACTTGCTACTATTCTATAATAATATTCTAGCAATTAAATCCATTAAATCAAAACAATTTGAATTATTACTTTGTCGATGTCGAATATTTGTTGGCAAAGATATCATACGGATCGTACGTGGAATACGTATCAAAAGTGAAAATGACATAACTGAAGTAGGTTGACAAATGATTTTAGAAGTGTCACTCTTTTAAGAATTTGAGACTAATATTGAATTTCAAATTGACTTAATTTAAGATTATTTAGAAGTGTCACCTTTTTAACAATTCGAGACTAATTCTAATTTCAAATTGACTTAATTTAAAGTTATCCAGACGTGTCATCTTTTTAAGAATTTGAAACTAATATCTAATGCAAAATTGACTTAATTTAGAATTATCCAAATGTGGTACTTTATATTTTATAACCTTAAATACATATTATTTTTATGGATCTGATCAAACTGAAATTTAAGTGGTTTGAATATATCATTTCAAATCAATATGATCACTGTAATGTAACAATTTGATATCGAATTTGATTCAGTTTAATACTGAAATTGAACTTCTTTTTAAGGAGAGGCAATTTACTGCGGAAGAACCATACAAATTCTTATCTAAGCAAAAGTTTGAAAAAAATTTAAATAGATTTAGTTTATTTAAAAAAATTTAAATAGTTTAATTTAAATAGCTTCTATGTTGATTAATTAGTATCATTACATTTTAGCATTATTTAAATTTTGATCAGTACTAGTTGGAAGTAACTTTAACTAGAAAAATATTGTGGATGTATTGATTATGCCGATTTTTTATTCTTAAAATAATTGATATATAATATATATATGTGTTAAGAATTGAAATAATTAAATATCAAAATTAAGTCAGCAATAAATAAATTTAAATTATATATAATTTAAAACTTATTATAATGAAAATTTGAATTTTATAAAATTATCAAATTATTAATTGTAATCATTTGAGAGAATCAAAGGAAGCCATTTATTCAAATATTATCTGAATCTCAAACTGAGAACAGCTTTTCTAATAAACAAAAACAGGTAAATATAATATGGTTTAGATTTTACGTATTATTCGAATTCTTTTTATGCTCACGTAATTGACGCAATTAACGTTTGAACACGCAATAGCAATAAAACTTGTTTAATTGTATTCATTAGTTAATTACAATTTATTATTTTATTTTTATTAATTCAATGAAATTTCATACGATTTACTACAATGGTAAATGAAATTATTTTATTAAAAACAATTTCAGATATTGACTCTGTAATTTGATAAAAAGATTAGAAAAAATTCTGGTAAAGTTATTCATGAATTGATCAATGTTTTTAAACAATTTTAAACTTTAACTGATCAATTATCAATTTTAATTAATTATTTTTTATTTAATTATATGATTAAACTAATATTTTTGTTTACCACTTTGAATTATTTTGCTGATAAGAGTAGATGATGATGATTAATGAAAGTTAAAATTTATACTTTTCCTTAAATTTCATTTAAATAATTTCTCTTTTTGGAAAAAGATTTCATTGATGTAGGACCATTACTAGTGGATATAGTAACAACCACAAGAAACTTTCAAAATTTATGGCCAAAAAAAAAAGAATTAATGAGCAATAAATATTGGCCAAACTAATTTTAATTTCAAAAAATTCACAGAAAGTATAATTTTCATTTAATTTTTTTTTTTATTTTCATAAAAAAAAAAAGGACAAAGAGAGAAAATGAGCAAAAATTGATATTTTATTTAAATAATTTTTTAATTAGTATACTGAAATATTTAATTATACAAGATTTTTTTTTCTTAATTAAAATTTTATTAATGATAAATGAATAAGTATGCTAATTGCAATTACTATTAAAAAATATAATCATCTAAAAAATTCTTTTTTTTTTTTTTTTGATTTTTATTTGATTTAAAATCAAATTATTTTCTGACATTTATTAAAATAATTTTTCAATTATACTGAAATATTTGTATATAAATTATTTTTTAATTGAATTTTATTAATAATAAATAAATAAGTATGCTAATTGCAAATAAGATTAAAAGATAAGATTATGCAAAAGTCTTTTTTTTGATTTTTATTCGATTTAAAATTAAATTATTTTCTAAAATTCATATTTTAAAAAATATATCCAATTTATTTTGTAAAGATATAATTTTATCGTTTTATTTTGAACTTTACCTACATTTAGTATTTCCTGTAAATTTTCAATATTTATTTGCGTACAGAGTAAATTTACCGTATGAAATTTTTACAGATTAAATTTACAGTATGAAACTTTTTCAAAAAAAAAAAAGTTAAAAAATTTTTTTTAGAAAGATTTGGAGCTTATGCCAAAGATATAATTGCTAATACTGGTGATGATCTTATTCAAATTCAAAATATCTAATTCAAATTTATTGAATGAACAAAAGATGAATTACAATGATTTTAATAATATTACATTTTTCAAAAATAAAAGTAAACAACTTCTTCAAGTTTCATAAAATTTTCAAAAATTTTTTTTCATTTATTATTTAAAAATTACTTTTTTCTAAATTATATTTTAAAAGAAAAATTTTCTAATAAATTTTCTATGATTTAATTTTACAATTTAGATAAATAGATAAACATATATTGCATATTTATTTCAGTAAATTTTAATAATAAACAAATGTTAGCCATCGAAAATAATAACAAAAAATTCTGAAAGGTATGCTTTAATTAATATCAATATTAAATTAAATTAATATTAAATATTAAAACAGCAAATTCGATTTGCACCTCAGAAGCAAATTTGATTTAATAAAGATATATGTATACAAAAAATAAAGCCAATAAGGTTTCAAATTAATTAAAACAAAAAAAAAACGAAATGATCTATGGTTATTTAAGTAAGTGATAAAAAATAATTTATGATAAAGTATATAATTATGAGCTAGCATGCAATCATCTTTTAATATTTTAAATTTTTTATTTGAAATATTTCTTTTTCCAAAAATTTGTATTTGTTAAAAATTTTAAAAAAAATACGTATTCATTGTAATCAATTGAATTTAATAGAAATTATTTTTTAGTATGTTTAAACTATTTTTTGAAATTGATTAAATTAGTAAATAATTATGAAGAAAGAAAGTTTAATTGTTATTATTTGTTTTATTTCAAATTACTAATTAACTTATTGTTAAACTTTTATTATAACTTTTTTTTTTTTGAAAGAAAATATATGAATATTAGATATAATTCAACAGATTATCTTATATTCCTTATTAAGTTATACTTTTAAAATTGCAGAAATTACAAGTAAATTCTTGTCAAATATCAAAATCATCAATGCAAACAAAATTCCATTGCAAATATTGGCGAAAATATTTATAGGATACAATGTCGTACGTGTTATACGTGATACTCATATTACTATTTCTACGTTTCTCGTACGTTTTAAACTTTTTTTTTTTTTTGAACTATCAAAATAATATAAAAATCGATGAAAGAATAAATAAATAAATGCTATTATTTGTTTGTTAATTTTATCGATTTGTTAAAATTTCATCCATTGCAGACAAAAAGTTTTGAAATGATTGAAATATTGTAAATAACAATTTCAAAGTATTGAAGATGAGAAGAAATAATGCTAAATTGATTACGTAAATTCAACGATTACACCGAGAGAAAAGACTAAAGATCAAATTAAAATAGACTAAAAAATATTTGAGAATTGAAATTTTTGTTTTTTTTTAAATAGTATATGTGATTTTTTGAATTCTATCAAATGGTGATTATTTGTGAAAGTGGATGACAATGACTAGTGACAGGTTAATTGGATAAATAGAAATGAAAATGATTGGATTAAATATTTTGTTTATGTTTTAAAATCACCATTACTTTTTGTTGACAAGTAAACATACAGCAATCAAATAGATTCCTGATGACTCTCCTTTTTTTTTTTTTTTTTTAATTAAATTAAAGATGAATTTAATGATCGATTGGTCGAGAACAGAAGATTTATGACAAGGAGTTAATTTACAAATCATTCATATTATTTGTTCTCGATCATTCTGCAATTACTCTATTCAATTTAATAAAATTTATTTAATAAATTTTTACAGAAGAGAAAAAAAGAGAAGATAGGAAACAATGTTGTTTATTTATGGTTTAGTTTATTATTTGCCTATCTTTTTAAATTTAAAGAAAAAAAAAATATTTTCAAAAAAATTGAATTATATGGGTTTTTTCACAAAACAGAATAAAGAGTTTGTAAAACAACAAAAAGTAATGATATAATTTATTTGTGTTAACAACTTAAGTAATGATTAAACTGTTCCTTAATATGTTTTATAATTGACAACTTACATATACTTGATAATTGATATTCATCCAAAACGTTATCACTGTCTTATCAGGAATTAATAAGTAGCTAAATTGATGATTGCCATGGAGTAATATTGTGGTTCATTTTTGAGAAAATAAAAAGTTACTTATGATAACAAATATAACCAAACCAAACGAGTAAGTATCGTTGAAATTTTAGGAACATATGAGTAGGAATTAAATTATTTATTAATGAATTAGCAAACATTTACAATTAATCCTAAAATGAAATTGATGATATGATAGCTTATCAATGACAACGATTTATTAATTTATTTACAATTTGTTTATTAATGAATTAACAAACATTTACAATTAACCCTGAAATGAAATTGATAATCTGATATGATAACTTATCAGTGATTGCCATCAGGATTATAACGCATACTACGTACTAAACCATTCCAACGGATACCACGTAAAGTAATACTTTTAAGAAATTGAACTTCTATCGATGAATCAATTCGATCGCATAATTCGCAACTTTCCAAGTATAACTCAGTGAGCTTCGGTAATGAAATTAATGCACTGAAATAGATTGTTTATTAATTCAAATTCAAAATTTTCAAAAAACATTTTTGTTCTGAAAAATAAAAATTTCAAAAACAAAAATAATTCTTACTCCTGTAATACTTATACCTTTTCAAGCACTTTTAATACTACCGCTAAAAAAGAGAGAGTTAATCTGAGAGAGATCAAATATTTAGTTGACAATATAATGACTTTCAAAGAATATATTTTCTTGTCAAACATCTAAAAGTGATAAAAACAATTTGATCTGTTTATTTGTTTTTGTTTTTGTTTCTTTTTTTTCTAAAAATTTGCATACAAAACAAATAAACTTTAAAATAATACCAACAAAATAAAATTCTAATAATAATTTCAGTAGCAGATACGAGTAAAGTACCTACGGTACTTTTTAACTTTAAAACAGATATATTAAACGTACGTGTAAAATCGTTTCAACTGATCATTAGTAGCAAATAAAGCATTCCAAATATGTACAAAACGTAATGAACGATGTGTTACTAGAAACCAGATCAGTAATTCCGGATATTTTGCAGTGCTATACCGTACCCCGAGCTGTACATATACAGTAATCAGTTGAATCAATGAAATAAGGAGTTACCGTAATCTCAATAAATTTAAATAATAAAATGAAATTTATTCCTTGTTCAATCATAAACTCTCAAAAAAATTAGAAAAAACCAACATATACATTTTGTTTTTTTGCATATGTACAAAATATTATTAATAAAAAAAAAAAATAAAAATACGCTAGAATGATCAAAAAAACGTGATCACCGTCTATTGATCATTATTTTTATCCGTCACGTAACAAGCAACACGTATTCTATCATAGTAGCATATTTTCATTGAAAATTTTCTTTTAATGTGATATAAATTTTTCCTCCATGAATTTTTCAAATTTTTTAATCATTTTTTTTTTTTTTCATATATATTTCTTTTTTTTTTCAATTATCAAAAATATAAAATTAAAATTTTTAAAAATTGTAATAAATTTGACTAATGAATTAAATGAACATTAAAAGATAGTAAAAAAAAATTAATACCACTTACACTTATATGTTTCAATTTGTACAAATAGCAATTAGTTTCACACAATGAATATAATATTCTGGCTAAAGTGTCATATGGACAATTGAGCACAAGCATTTCCAAATGTTGCATAAAACGTATAGGTGGTACTTCTAATCGATATGAACATCCTTATTTAAATAATAATTAATTAAAATGAATTAAAACATAGCATTAAAATTCATACAAACATACATACATAATTTATTATTTTTGAAATATTTTTTGAAAAAAAAAAAACATAAAATTTTATCATTTTTTTTAAAGAAATTCTATTATTTACTTCAAATTATTAAATTACATTTAGTAATTAATGAAAATTTTTTTAAAACAATTTTTTATTTTTCATATACTAAAGCATAATATGAAATTTAAAAAAGAAAAGTGAAAATTTTAACCTTTGCCAATAGTTTTTTGAATCATAAATCCGTCCATAATCAATATTTTCAATTGTCGAAAATATTGCAATGCTAAGATTGCATCTGTTTCAAAAAATGGCTTATTGCAAGTTTGACTTAAATCTAATCGATATAATCTTGGTGTTGCTGATGCTAGCTGCAAACAGGTAAGTAAATCATTAAATAATTAGGTAAAAACTAATTTCGTAATTAAATAATTAGGTAAAAACTAATTTCGTGACTATTATTTAATTTATTTCAAATCATTGAAATGATATGTTATACTTCGATAATCATTATAATATTTACGAATATACTTCAATTTATATCAAATATCACTTGATTAATAAGCTAATACTAATTAAAATTATCAGGTAAAAAAGTGAAATCTATTTAATTAGTTCAAAATTAGTTAATGAATAAATGCTAACTAAAATTATCAGGTTAAAAAATGAAATCTATTTAATTACTGCAAAATTAGTTAATAAACTAATGCTAATTAAAATTATCAGGAAAAAAAAAAAGTGAAATCTATTTAATTACTGCAAAATTATTTTATTCATATCACTGGCAATAATAATTTATAAATTAAAACTATTCGTTACCTGAATTAAACCGGTTAACGTGAGGACAACTGAACAATGACGAAATGATAGGTCACGTAAGGCTGGCATATAAAGATTGATAAATGAAAAAATTTTATCAAAAATTGCATCACAAACATTTTGCTTATTGAAATTGCTCCATTTGCAATTGTAAAATATAGTTAAATAATCAGAAACAACGTCAAGATGATTTCGATAGCATAAATTATACTCAACAAGCCATTTGTGATACTTTGATACCTGTCAAATAATTTTAATTTAAAATTTGTAAACTTAACCTTTCTGAAATTTGCTATAGAATTATTTATAAATAAATATGAATAACAATAAAATGTCATTGTAAAAATACTTAAAAAAAGAAAAAAAAAAGAACTAATTTGTAGCTAATTATCATATAATGACTTTTTTTTTCTTTATTAATTATTATATTTATTGTAGAAGAAAAATTTTTTAAATTTAAAATATTTAATTTGTTTTGAATTTTTAGTTTATGCATAAATTATACTCAACAAGCCATTTGTGATACTTTGATACCTGTCAAATAATTTTAATTTAAAATTTGTAAACTTAACCTTTCTGAAATTTGCTATAGAATTATTTATAAATAAATATGAATAACAATAAAATGTCATTGTAAAAATACTTAAAAAAAGAAAAAAAAAGAACTAATTTGTAGCTAATTATCATATAATGACTTTTTTTTTTCTTTATTAATTATTATATTTTATTGTAGAAGAAAAAATTTTTTAAATTTAAAATATTTTAATTTGTTTTGAATTTTTTAGTTTATGCATAGAAACAAAGACATTTAAAATAAAATCTATAAAAATAAATTAATTAATGTGAGAGAGAAGAAAAAAGAAAGGTAATTTTAAAAGATTCAGAAGAAAGGAACGATGAAAATAACAAACTTGTCGTAATTGAAGTAACGAGAAGAAATCGCAATAATTTAAAATGATTAATTGAATTTCGGACGGTAAACAATTAATTGACATTGTATTTTAAAAATTGACAATCAGTTTCAGTTTAAAATTAACAGTTCACAATGATTGTTAGTTGAATGATAACTGCAATAAAGAAAAGGAAGGTTAAATTAGAAGTAGTGATAAAAAAAAATAATTAATTGCCGAATATTTACATTTTTTTTTTCTTTCCAAAAAAAGATTTGATTGAATTACGATATAATTTATAAAAAAATAAAAGAGCAAAAATCAAAATGAAAATATCAATATTATTTATAAATGATTTCATTGAAGCCATTTAGAATATAGCGCTAATTTAATTAAGAAAAAAAAGGAGATTAAATTAATAATAAGTAAATTTTCAAATAGAGAAAGATATAAAATTAGAAATACTTATTTCTACATTCATTATAATATATGGAATTTTTACAAATAATAAATAATCTTAAAAATTATTCAATACAAAATATTTAATTGTCATTCATACAGTGAAGTGGCAATTAGACTAATATTTATGATTAAACACAACCAAAATAAATTACGATGAGGTCAGGTCAATGATCATTTAAGGTCAAGTTTAGCTAAAACAATATTTAAAATAGATGTGACATGAGAATTCCATAAGAATTTAATATGAACTTTTGCTAGAAGTATATTTCTTGATAAAAAAAACATCAGTTTTTACTCTTCTTGTCAATAAAACTTAAAAAATTTTTATTCAAACTAAGGAAATTTGTAATTTAATTGCTAATATAGACTTAGAGTAATAAATATGAACAAAAAGTATAAAATTTTATGAAATTTAATATCTCTCTATCGTTAAAACTTTCAAATTTAATTTTAAAATTAAGAACTTTCTCGCAAACTTTATTATTCATACGTCATTTCATTAAATGCAATATTTTATAAAGTAAATTAAATGATTTGTCTTTTTAGAAAAAACGAATATTTTTTATGGTTTTAAAATTATAATTCAACGATTACAATTAAATATAAATACTTTTTTTTTTTCAAATTTATTTATGAACCATAAATACATAATGAAGTGAATAATATAAATATTAAAATAAAATTGTATCAAATTTGTTTAATTTATAATTGAAATTTTAAAAAGGTTATCTTATTTGTAATTATTTTTGTAAAAAAAAAGCGAAAATAATGTTTAATTTGTAATTAAAATAAATTGCTAAAAGCAAACAAAAAGAAAAACAAAACCATTTTAAAATTGAAGAGAAAATAGAATAGATTTTAAAAAGTGATAATAAGATGATAAGAAATAAATATATTTGTGACAAGAAAAAGTTAAAAGGAGAAAAAAAAACAAGAAATAATTGTACTCTCTCTGCTAGTTTTCCAATTTTTTTTTTTTTTTCTTTTTTTTAGCAAACAATCAATACGTTGATTGATACTAGTTGAGTTGATTGTGCTGTAAATGTTTATTTGAATGATAAATAATTTTCTTTCTTTCTTTTCTCATTCTTTTTTAATAATATTCACTTATTTACTTACTTATCTGTTTATTTACTTTGCTATTTGTCAATTATATTGTCGTATAATTTACTTACTTAAAAATTATATTGTCATCTAATTTACTTATTTACTTATCAACTATATTGTCATGTAATTAACTTATTTATCAATTATAATATCATGTAATTTACTTACTTACTTATCAATTATATTCTCATGTAATTTGCTCACTTATTCATAAATTATATTGTCATGTAATTTACTTGTTTACTTATCGATTTACTTACTTTCTTATCAGTTATATTGTCATGTAATTTACTTATTTATTTATTTGCTTACTTATCAATCAAATTGTCATATAATTTCCTAGCATTTAACAATTATTTTCCAAATTTCATTACCTACTTATCAATTTATTTCCTTACTTACTTATTAGTTAAATTGTCATATAATTTCTTAGCCTTTAACAATTACTTTCCAAGTGCCATATAATTTACTTACCTACCTATCTATTCATTTCCTTACTTAGTTATCAATTAAATTATCATATAATTTCTTAGCATTTAACAATTACTTTGCAAATGCTATGTAATTTAAAGAAAATTAACAACTGAAAGAGGAAAGGAAAAAAAAGAAAGAAAAGTTGGTGGAAAAGTTTGTCAAATTGTTTACTTTTAGTATTATATAGGAAATAAAATACTTTCTGTTATTTGATCATTTTCTTTAACTATTTTGCAATGAATGGTTTTTTTCATTTTTTGTTTTTATATTTATTTTTCACTCTTTTTTTTTTTTTTTTTTTTTTGAGAAATTTGATAATTTTCTGATAAATATCAAATTGTAAGTGATAAGATCAAACAATGAGCATAGAAAAGTTTTATTATTAATATGCAACAGTTATCTTTCAAAAATATTTAAATTCAATGTTTGAATTTCATTTTTGATTTACTTTTTTTTTTTGTTACCTATATAATTTAATTTGAATTTGACTAATAAAACTATTAAAATGAGAAATGAAAAAGAAATAAAGTTTAATTCAAGCTATCATCATTAATCAATTTCATAGAAAATGTAATTTGAAGAAAAAAAAAAATTGCAGAAAAGAACCTTTTAAAATTATTCATAGTTATACATAAAAAGAGGGAGAGAGAAATGAAGAGAGAGAGAGAGAGAGGGAAAGAAAAAGAAATAATTAAAAATTCTAGGAAAAAAAAAAAGAGCGAAACAGCTGTACTTACTTAATATTTATTTCATTGTTAAATTGATTAAATTCAATTACTCGTTGCATTTCAATTTCACTAATACTTTCACATTTTTATTTAATTAATCTATTCTATTCATATGGAAAATACTATGCAAATTCCTTTTATTTGTCATTCAAATCATTGAAAATTGATGTAAAATTTCCATAAAAAAAAGGAGTAGAGAAATCGATAGATAAAATGAAATGACGAAGAAATGAAAATGTACTATCATTCAGAGAATGTCGAGAGTCGAGAATCAAGAATAGAGAGAATGATATTTGTCACACTTTTCAATTTCTTCTTCCATTACAAATCATTAATTTCGTATATTATAAAACAATGAGATATACTTATGTTACTCCACCACAGAAAGTTTTTCATTTCAGTTTCGTTTTTTTTTTTTTTTGGAAATTTTAAAATTTTTGACTTAGTAATTAGAATAATTATTAACAATTGCACTTTAATATATTTAATTGCTAATTTTTATCATCATTTTATAGAATTAAATTTTTAAAAAAGTTAAAATTAATAAAGGATTGAAGAAATTTGAAAAAAAAATGCAAAGAATTAGTTGAAATATTAAAGTGAATAATTTTTTAATAAAAAAGAAACGAGAAATTTCTTTGTTATAATCATCGATTGTTTTGTTTGATCTTTCGTTGTCATTAATTAAGTAACATTTTGCGCATACAATTTGTAAAATCTATGAATTATAATAGCTGCAAATTGATATATATTTATTTTAGTTAATTAAAATAAGTTTAAAAATTAATAAATCAAGAAATTTATGTATTAGTTAAGTTTATAAGTTAAGAATTTCTAGCTTAAATTCTGTACTAGTAAACAAATTTTAACTATTTAAATATCATTGCATTAAAATAATTAACTGTGAAAGAAATTTTAATAAAAAAAAGGTTGAAGAACTCAAATTACTTCAATTACTTTTTATTCTCGAGCAACATAAATTGAATTTAAAAATATTAAATGAAATTTTAACCAGCAAAGCTATTCCAAAAATTACTGTCAAAATCAAATGTAACATTGATTTTTTCCAATTTTAAGTATTTTTTTTTTTTTGGATGATTTTGGAGATAATTGCTTACTTATAATTAGAGATAATTTTAATTAGAAATAGTTTTAATTAGAAATAATTTAATTAGAAATATAAGATACTTTAAATAGAAATTAATTAGAAACAGGAGATAGTTTTAATTAGAAATAAGAGATAATTTTAATTTGAAATAATTGTTTAGTGATATTTTTTTTAGAGATAATTACTTTTTTTTTTGATATTTATTAGATTAATTAGCATTATTTTTGAATAAAAACACCGATGCTTTGATGTCTTTATGAGTTGACAGTTTTAAAATTTTAATTTGACCGATCTGTGATCCAATGAATTTTTTTTTTTTTTTTTTGTCCATTTGTCCATTTTCCATAATAAACCAACATTTTATGGCAAAGAATTTTCAAAGTCTAAAATATCCTTCTATTATCATTTTGCTATTTATTTGTTTTCATTTTCGTCTTTGATGTTATAATTGTAAACATTGTAAACATAATTGTAAACAAATTATGTATCAATGATTGGTTTAGCTAAGAATAAATATATTTTTAATATAAAATTTGATTAACATAATATGAAATATGCTGACAATTAACAAAATAAACATAAAAATTATTATCTTCATCAAGTATTACCTAAAAAAAAAAACAAAAAAAAAAATTCTAATATCTATCTAATAATTATTCAAACAATTGATAACAATGATAAGAAAATTTAACAATGATTGAATTGAATTCAAAATTAATTTTCATTATGTTAATCAAATGATTACACTGTTTGAAATTTATTATCATATAATGATCAATAAAAAGATAAATTTGATAAGAAACATAAAAACATATGCTGAATTTATCAACAGTTATAAGCAGTCTTATCACATACGGACAGGTTAATTCAGAATTGATACTGATAATTCTTGTCCGGTTCATCTTCTCGACATACACTATATCGAATCTCAGTACATGCTGCTGATCGTTCCGAATAACAAATGGGAAAGTGTATTCCGTCTCCTACATGAGAATCTACCGGAAATGCCCATAAACCCCAACCGAATACAGCCCGTAAATTACGATATATTCCCATATTATAATCAGCATTTGAATCCCCACTGAAATATTTATTCAATTCTAATTTTAATTTATAAATTTTAAGCTAAGCTCAAATTTTTCATCTGATAGATAATGAGTTTATCATAAAATTTATATTTTCGGAAAATAAATTCAGGAAAAAGAAATGAAAAAAAAAAAAGCCAAAATTGAAATAATCACTGACTTCTAAGTATTACTAAAAGATCAGAAATTTTTGATTCATTTTTCGCAATTGTCAAAAAATTGTGAACCCTTTTCATAACACTTTTAACTTTTTTGATCTTTTTTTCATGATTTGCTTATAAACTATTTTTTACTAAATTATTTTTTAAATTTAAATTTCTGTTTATTACTGCTAAGAATAAAAATTTGTATTTTGCAAAAAATAAATAAGTTAAAATTGAATTAATGAACGTATATGCTATAGATAGAATAATATAATTAATTTATAATTTTCATTTAAAATTTAATTAATTGTTGGTAATTTTGATGCAAAATATATACTATCTCTTACCAAATTATTTTTTTTTTAAATTTAAATTTTTTGCTTATTACTACTAGGAATAAAATTTGTAAAATTAAAATTTTACACTTTATTTTCATTTTTTTTTTTTTTTACTAAAATATCAAAATTTTGATAAGTTTGAGGAATGAAATTTGAAATAGATTACAAAATTACCGAATATTTGGTGGTTTTGCTTGCTCGCAGGTGGTTTCATTAAGTGTTGCAAGTCGTATATGATAAATGAGAAGCTCACCAAGTGGATAATAACCAAAAATAGCAAATAAAATGACACATAAAAAAACACAAATAAAATTAACAATTTGTTCGGTCCATTGTTGTCGTATAAAATAACGAATAATACATTCTATACTTGTTAACAAAGCCCTAAAAAAAGAGAAACAAAATTTTCCTTTCAATTTAAATTTTTTAACAAAAAAAATTTTTGCAATTTGTTAAAACAAAGGTATGAATTTCAATACACAAATCCAAAAATTAAAAATAAAAGCAAAAGCAAAAGCAAAAAGAAAAAATATATTAGCAATTAATTGATGGTTCATTTCTTCACAGAAAACTTTTAAAATATTACATTTTTTTTAATTTAAAATATTGCATTTGTAATTAAAATAATTTAAAATGCTACATTTGCAATTTAAGATATTACATTTTTAATTTGAATTATTTATTGCATTTGTAATTGAAATAGTTTAAAACACTACATTCGCGATTTAAAATATATTTTTAATTTAAAATATTGCGTTTGTAGCAAAAATAATTTAAAATACTATATTTGCAACTTAAAATATCATATTTTTAATCTAAAATATTACATTTTTAATTTGAATTACTTACTGCATTTGTAATTAAAATAATTTAAAACACTACATTTGCAATTTAAAATATAACATCGTTAATTAAAAAAATTACATTTGTAATTAAAATAATTTAAAACACTACATTTGCAATTTAAAATATAACATTGTTAATTAAAAAAATTGCATTTGTAATTAAAATAATTTAAAACACTACATTTGCAATTTAAAATATTGCATTTCTAATTTAATATATTGCAATTGTTTAAAAAAAAAAGCTTTAAATGTTACATTTACAATTTAGAATATTACAGTTTTAATCTAAAAAATTGTATTTGTAATTCAAATAATTTAAAATGTTACATTTATAATTAAAATATTACATTTGTAAATTTAAAATATCACTCTTCTCATCAATATATCATATTACTTTCAAAAAAAATTTTTTTTTTTTTACTTTTTTTTTGTAGTACTAAAAAAATATTGAAATAATTAATAATGAATTTAAAAAAAAAGAGAAAGAGAAATGACAAACCAAGCTAACAAAATACAACTGTAAATAAGATAAAGCATAAAATATTTGTAATTATTAAATGAGACACATTTATTAATCCATGGACAATGATGATCATACTTGACGACACAGAAACCACAGGATGAGCAATGGTGACATCGATCAGGTTTGATAAGTGAACATTGATAGCAGTATCTTAGCAAATTAGAAAAAAAAAAAAAATTCAAAAATAAAATTTTGCATTCTTTCTTTTCTTTTTTTTTTTTTTTTCTTCTTCCAACACTCTACTTTTAACATATTTTATAAAATTTGTAAAATTTTTAAAAAGTTTTCTTTTCTTGCAAAATTTTTAAAATTTAAACATATCATTGAAATCATTTATTAATAATAATTATGATTATTACAGAAAAAAATTATACGCACTAATAATTTCTAATAATACGCTCTAATAATACAATAATTTCATCATTTATCATATAATTTTAAAATATTTTTCAAAAAACTTTTTTTTTTTTTACTTTTTAAAATAAAGAAAAAAGCCAGTGAATAGGTAACAATGTTTTTCAATCATTTTTTTTAAAAAATTTTTTTGTAATACTTTGAATTAGATATATTTTAATTACTTTGTTAATTAATGAAATTTTTTCAAATTTCAAATATTTAAAGTTTGTTTTTTTTTTTTGTTTAGTTTTTTAAAAAGTAAACAAAAAAAGAAAGAAAGCATAGAAATGAAAAAATACCTTAAACGATTGTAATTGTCCACCTCAACAAAACGTAATCCTTTATTTTCAGCAAAATTATTCAGTATATCAGATTGATTTTGCATCTGTTCTTTGGTTGATGTATCCGGAAGATATCGATCCTCTTTGAATGGTGTCACTGCTTTTATCTTATCATCTGTCTCCTTATCAGTCTTAATGTATTCATTTCAAGTATTTCAAGGACTAATTCAATTAAATGAATTATTTAATAAAAATTGAATAAAAAGTTTTTGCTCTTTTAATTAAAAAGAAAAATATACATTTAAAAATGCGAAATTGTCAATAATTTATTAATTAAAATTTTATCCTTTTCAAAATGCAGAAAAAAAGAAAGAAAAAAGAGTTTTGCAATTTTTTGTTTTTTTTATAATTTGTAATTTTTATAAAAATAATTATAATTTGTAATTTTTTTTTTCAAAACTAGTAATTAAAATTTAAACTATTACAGGTGTTAGATAAATTATCAAATTAAAAAAATTTTTTTTTTCCCAATCAAATTGAATTTAATTTTTTTTTTTATTTAATATAAAATTATGTAATTAAGAGAGACATAAAAAATTTTTTTAAATCAATTCCAGTAATAATATGAGTACATACAAAGTACTGAATAGGTACTCGAGCAGTTGGTGTGACAATTGACATTACAAGAGACCAAAGCATCATAAAGAGAATTACATTGAAAACAATTAAATAAATTGTAATTTGAATTCGATTTGTTAAGAATTGAAAACAGGTAATCCAGGTATACACATAGTATCTGAAATAATTATTTCAATTCAAATTTAATTTAAACTCAATTTTTGAAATTGTCTTTTTTGAATAATTTTGATAAAAAAAAAAATTTCAAAAGTTTTCTTCAGTCATCTATTAGTCTCTCCTCTCTCTCTCTCTTCTTTCTCTCTCCCTCTGTTGCAACGAATACATTTTTTTTTCTGTAGTAAATATTTTAATTAGAATTAAAAAATTATTATGTGTAATCTTATGAATTCAAGTATTTTTAATTTTAAAAAATTTTTTGAGAAAAATTTAAAGACGAAAAATGAGTTAAAAAAAAATTATTAAAAAAGCATTTTGTTTTGTTTTTCTAAATTAGTTTAAGAAAAAATTAGTTTCGTTTCAATTTCATTTTTTAATTCATCCAAAATTTTTAAACAAATGTCATTTATTCAAATGATTTTTTTTTTTTCTTTTTATTTTTTTATTTATTTTTTTTGTTTGAAAGAAAAATTATACGAATAAATGAAAATGAGAAGTTGCATGAGAAGAAGCGCATTTAAAGCTAAATTTAAAAAGAATCCTCGAAATGGATGCTTTTTACGATAGTTTCGCACAAACACATAAATTTTAGAGTACCACGACATCACTAAAATCTAAAAATAAAACTTTTTAAAATTTATTTTTTACAAAGAAATTTTTAAAATATTAAAAATAAAATCAAATTACTTTTTTTATTTAGCAAAATTAAAGCTATTTAAAACAAATAAATAAAATAAACTTTTTTTTTTTTGCTGTACACAAAAAATTTTAATTACAAACTATAAAAAAAAAATAAATAAAAATAAAAATTGAATAAAATATAAAAGAATTTGATAAAAAAAAAAAAAAAAAAAAAAAAAAAAGATTAGAAGCAAACATTTGTTTCTGATGATGGAGCAAAATTAAACACACTGTCAAAAATGATAACTGACTAAACAATGAACTTTGAAATTCATAAAATTTTATTTTTAAAAAAATAATTTTTAATTCAAATCAATCATGCAAATTTGTTTACAATCATTTGCAAATGAATTTAGTAATGAGCTGCTAAATGTTTCAGAAGTTTTTTGATTGTTAAAATGCTTAAAAATTAAAATTAAAAAAAAAAATCTAAATCTAATAAAGAGATTTGTTAAAAATTGTTAAAACAATTTGCAATTAACAATAGTAAATTTTGATAATTTAATAGTTAAATTTTGATTTATATAATTTTTTGTTAAATTATTCATTCATAATTTATTAAAGCATTTAATGATAATTTAATTATACTTAATTTATTGAATAGTTCAATTAATAATAACACTGTAATAAAACAATTACAACAACTATAAAATTAAAATTATAGATATCTTAATTTTTAGATTACAATAATAAAAACAGTAATTTAATTATGCCAAATTATTCATTAGAATATGTTTATTTCATTTCATTGTAATTATTTATTCTAAATTCTTTTATTATTATTATTAATTGATTTTAGGATAAGATATATATATATTTTTCCATTTTTTTTTTTCATTTACATATATGATTGCACCTAAAATTTTCTGCAATGTAATTTGTCCAGCAAAATTTCCAGTAAAATTTTGCCAAATAGTTAATTTAAACTTTTTTTTTTTAAAAAATGAATTTAATCAGTTAACATGATAACTTATCCTAAAATCAATTAATCAACTAATTTTAGGATAACATTATTAACTAAATAAAAATTATTTGAAAAATTTACCTAAATTCCATAAATGATAATTTTGTCATTTATTTCATCAATTTAATAAATAATTGTTAGCAGCAGAATAAAACAAAGTATCATTTATTGATGAAAAAGTTTTTATTAATAAAGTCAATTGTTCATTTTATAGTTATTTAAAAAAGAAATAAATGAATTGTTTGTAATTAATATAATTTTTTTTTTCTTTTTAAATTAAAATTCTATCAATTTTAAAACTTTTATCAAATCATATAGCAAAACATTTATCACAACATTTTTCATAGCAATTAAAATTAAAATTCAATATTTAGTAAGTCTTTTCGTGATAGTTTACCATTTGGCGTTTTTGGTAATTCAGGTACTATTTGTATGCCACCACGTAGTTGCTTGTATGGCGCTACTCGATCTGTAATAGCAAAATTTAAATTTTAAATTTAATAAAATTAATTAATGATTGAAATTAATTAATTAAAAAAATAAAACTTCTCGACATTAAATATTAACAATTTCTATATCTTAGATTAACTAAATAAGATAAAATTGCGTGATAATAATATACAAAGAATATATATTTTAATGTTTAAGATAAAATAAAGTTGAAAAAGAAAGTAAAATTTAATCGAATGCTAAAAATTCTATAAATTTTGTAACAATTAACTAGTAATAACAAAATTTTATTTTTAGATTAAATGAAAATTAATTAATTAATTAAAATAATAAATTGAAATTAATTAATTAAAAAAAAATAAAGTTGTGGAAAATCTCGACATTAAATATCAACAATTTCTGTATTTTAGGTAAACTAAATACGATAAAATTGTGTGATAATCATATATAAAGATTAAATATTCTAATGTTTAAGGTAAAATAAAATTTTAAGTAAAATAAAGTTGAAAAAAAAAAAAAACAAAATTTAATCGAATGCTAAAAATTCTATAAATTTTGTAAAAATTAACTAAAATTTTTTTAATGCAATCGGATATGTAGCAAAAAAAAAAAAAAGAAAGGCAAAAAATTAAACCAAATTTTAATTTTGTTGTATATTACAAAAATAAAATTAAATTTCACTATTTTTCCTCTATAAATTTTATGGTAAAATTTTAATTTTAAATTTAAAAAAAAAAAAAAAAAAAAGAAATTTCGAACCATTTACGTATTTGATAAGATCAGCAGATTGAAAGTTTGCTATTTCATCGTTCATTAGCACAACAAATGCTTTTGGAATCTGATAAATGTAAATGAATTAATTCATTTATGATTAAATTACATTTTTAAAACTTTTTTATAATTTAATATTTATGCACTAAAATAATAGCAAAATAAATATATATTGAAATTTGCATTGAAATTTCAACTGTTATTCATTTTTTTTTTTCTTTTATCTTCAATTCAAATTTAGAACATTTTAAAGTTTTAGTTTTACCTTGAAAAAAAAAAGTGTTTTAAATTTTTAAACTAAATAAATAAATAAAAATTAAATTTTTAACAGGAATACCAAAACAGAAATACCTGTACATACCTGTCCATGATCCATATCCGGTATACCTACAATAGCTGCATCACGGACACACTTGTGACATTTTAAAATATCCTCCTAAAAAACAATTTATCATTCTTTTCTTTTTTTAATTTTATTAAAACATAATATTAAATTTCAAAAAAAAAAATATTATTTAAAAATAGATCAAAATAAAAATTGTAAACAAAATAGAACGAACCAATTCAGTTGGTGATACTTGCATACCATTCACCTTAATTAAATCTTTCTTTCGATCAACAACAAAATAAAAATTGTTCGAATCAAAATACATTATATCACCTAAAATACATTGCAATATTTTATTAGCATTTAAAAAAAAAAATTCAAATCTACTAAATTTTCGAAGTTAAAATATAGACAAAATTAATGCTTCATCATTTAATTTAATCTAATACATTTATGAAATGTTCAACTAATCGCTTATAATAATGCTTGCATTTTATTTCCAGTACTTCAAATTTTATTTCTTACTTATTCAATTTCAATTAATTAAAATTAATTCAAATCAAAAATTTATAAAAGAAAAAAAAAATCAATTAAATTAATTCAAATCAAAAATTTATAAAAGAAAGAACTAAATTACCTGTATGCAACCACCTGTTGCTATCAATAACTTTTTTGGTTTCTTCAATATCATTCAAATAACCTTTCATAATTGCTTCTGATCGTAGCAAAAGTTCACCACATTTCCATGGTTCCTTTTGCACTGCACCACTTTCTTCATCAATTAACTGTAATTAAAATTCAAATAATTTCCTAGCTTACAAATTTGTTGTTAAATTATGAATAAATAATTTAATAATTTTAATAACTTCAATAATTAAGTTTTAATCAACATTTAATTAGCAAAATTAATTAAATTTTAATTTGTGACGGTTTTAATTCACTGAAAATTATCCTAATTATTAAAGTTAAAAAATATCTTAATTATTTCTTAATCACTGAAAAATATCTTAATTATTAAAGTTAAAAAATATCTTAATTATTTCTTAATCATTGAAAAATATCTTAATTATTAAAGTTAAAAAATATCTTAATTATTTCTTAATCATTGAAAAATATCTTAATTATTTCTTAATCATTGAAAAATATCTTAATATTATTAACACACACAAACAATCCGTTACCATAGCTTCAAAACCGGGTAATAGTTTCCCGCAACTTCCCAAATAACTATCATCATCGTTTGGCATATTTAGTGGTGTTATATGACTTAGAACTACTACCTCTGTCATACCATAACCTGAAAATAAAACGTAATAATTTTCAAGCAAAAATAAAAAACACTGATAAAAATGATCAAGAATTATGATAAAAATGATAATATTAACCAATGTAATTTGTGATATGTATGATAATTTTAGTTAAAATCAATTAATTAGCATTTATAATTGTCAGTTATAATTGTAGATGATTATTATGTATTGATAAGATTGATAAGATTAAAACTAAAACTGAAAAACGGATTTAATTCCATTTCTTTTTTTCCCTGTTTTTCATTTTATAACTAATTTCTAGTTATATTTTTTGCTAAAATAATCCAAGAAAGCGATTATTTGAAATGAGAAAAAAAGTTTTTTTATTTTCTTTGAAAGTCATTGCAATCCGTTTAAATTCCGGAATAAGCATCCAGAAATAAAATACCTTGAATTAGATTAATTACATGAGGGAATTTATGCAGAAAACGTTTGCTTAGCTCTTTACCCAGCGGAGCACTACCACATAAAACGGTTTTTAGTGATGATAAATTCCAACGATTAATTTGAATTTCATCTTGACAAAGATTTTCCAGTATTGCTGGTACCAAATTTAATGTATCAATCTAAAATATAATTAATCAAATAATTAAATTCAAAAAATTGAAAAAGAAAATGAAAAAAAATGGATTATTTTGATATGCTAATAAATGTAATTTTAGTAAAGAGTAAAAGTTAATTTACTTGAAAAGTTAGGTATAAAAAAAAAAAATGGGTATTCAAAATTAAAAGTTAAATTATTGAATTACAATTTCAAATATTTAAGTTGAGAAAATAGCTGATTCTATTCAACAAAATTTATGAAAACCTTTGAAAATTTAATTTTGGAATAAAGTTACTTTAAAAAAAAAAAAAAAAGCTTAAGTATTACTTTATATTTTTCAATACAATTTAGCAGTACTGCCGGATGAAAATGTTCCATTATAATTGTTTGATGTCCTTCCAGTAGACAATAACATAATGCCCAGAATCCGGAACCATGATAAAATGGTAATGTGCCAATTGTTATACGTCGATGACTTCCTGATAGCTTATCAAATAAAGCCCTAAAAATGAGAAATTACTTTGCTAGAAAGTATTCTCGAAAAAAAAAAGAATGAAAGAAATAATCAATATATTAAATAAATTTTTGTTTCAAAAATTCACAAAAATACCTCCACAGTAAAGTAATTTTTCATTTCATTTTCTTTAAATTAAAAAAGTATGGAAAAAATGAGAAAATGAAAATTAAGAATAATTTAATGAATATTTCATTCATTTTGAATAAACTAATAATAATTAAGAATAATTTGATGAATATTTCATTCATTTTGAATAAATTAATAAAATTTAAACTTAAAAAAAAATAGGAATATGAGAACGAGAAGAAATTATTGATAAAAATAAAAAATCAAAAGTATATTTTGTAGGAAAAATATTTCGATTTATTACTTATTGCTAAATGAAATATTATTAACTTACTGTTTAAGAATAGCAGTTGAAATATTAAAATTACGATGAGTTAATTGAACACATTTGAATGAATTAGTTGTGCCACTACTAAAAGGTGTTAGTAGGATATCATCCAAAGTGATATCATTTTCATTGCATTCAATTAAATTTTCCATCCATTCTTTGATTAAATAATTAAAATCTTTTCCAAATTGAGTATAATGTTTGTCCAAAATTATTAACTGCAATTATTTGTATTGAAAAAAAAAACAAATATAATCAATTAATTAATTAAAATCTTTTCCAAATTCAGTAAAATGCTTGTCCAAAATTATTAACTGCAATTATTTGTATTGAAAAAATAAGAAAATAACAAATATAATTAATTAATTAATTAAAATCTTTTCCAAATTGGGTATAATTCTTGTCCAAAATTATTAACTGCAATTATTTGTATTGAAAAAAAAAAAAAACAAATATAATCAATTAATTAATTAAAATCTTTTCCAAATTCAGTAAAATGCTTGTCCAAAATTATTAACTGCAATTATTTGTATTGAAAAAATAAGAAAATAACAAATATAATTAATTAATTAATTAAAATCTTTTCCAAATTGAGTAAAATGTTTGTCCAAAATTATTAACTGCAATTATTTGTATTGAAAAAAAAACAAATATAATTAATTAATAAATTAAAATCTTTTCCAAATTCAGTAAAATGCTTGTCCAAAATTATTAACTGCAATTATTTATATTGAAAAAAAAAAAGAAAATAACAAATACGATTAATTTATAAACAAATTTGTTTGTAATTATATGATTAATTTTAACAAAAAGAATTTAACAAATAATTATTAAAAATTTTTCATATTTAACAAATATGTACTGAAAATTTTTTATAGCTTAACGAAATTTAATAAATATTTATTGATATTTTTTTTATAGCTTAACAGAATTTAATAAATATTTGTTGAAAATTTACATATTTAACAGAATTTAACAAATATTTATTGATATTTTTTTTATAGCTTAACAGAATTTAATAAATATTTATCGAAGATTTACATAGCTTTTTTTTCCAATATTAGATATCATCTTTTTAATGAATATTTGTAATTGTTGACTGCATATGAAATAACTGATTAAACAGTTAATAGTTTCGTTTATTTAACTTTAATAGTGATAAGGTAATGTGCATTTTGTATGAAATGTAATTAAAATTTTTATAATTAATTAATTATAAATAAAATTTTTGCAAAAAAAAAAAAAAAAAATTTGATATAATGAAAAAGAAATTTGAAATTATTTTATAATTCATGAAGCACACCAAGCATAGTCTTATTAATTTTGTTTAATAAATTAAATTCTCTTTAAAGTTCTATCTTTCTTTTTTTTTTTTTTTTTAATCAAAATAATCAAATTTTATTATAAAATGAAAAAAAAAAAGAGAAGTAAACCTCGCATTGTGATGCAAAATTGATAGCAATATGATAGTTATGAGATGATACAATCAAATATTTAGCATTTGTTAATTTCAGAGCTTTTTCAAGTTCATCTAGAATTAATATTACAAATAAAGTAAAATAATATTTTTATTTTAATGATATATTTTAAATTATTTTGAAAAATTCTATCCGATATTAGCTACAATTTCTTCGTTTTCTCAAGCTTAATTAATATTATTTATGAAAATGAAAAAAAAAAAAAAAAAAAAGAAAAGAAATGTCACATTTCATTTTTCCAAAAATCATATATCATTTATTTTAATTTATTAACTATATTTTAAAAAATTACAATTTCTATTACATTTTACTTTTAAATGTTAATTAGCTTAATTTTTTTTTTCTTTCTAAGAAATTACAAGATTATGGAAAAGTATGTGAAATATTTCAAAAATGTTACACTGGGTGGATTCCGGATGAATTCCTGATATTGAGCAACCGATTAATGCACTACCCAAAAAGATAATTGGATACTGATAACAATTTTCCAAGCAAACAATCACTATATCACCTTTTTTTGCACCCAATTGTTTGAGATTATTAGCAAAATTGTAAGATTTATTTCGTAGCTGATCAAATGTCAAATTATCACCAGTACGTAAATCTGTCTGTAAATAATTTTTGTTTTATAATTATAACAAAATTTTTTATTTCATATCTTTTCAACATTTTTTCACTCTTTCAATCTTAATTTTTAACATTTCATTTCAATTAGCATTAGTAGAATTGACGTAAGAAGAATTATCTATATCCTAGAATATATTAAAGTTGAAAATTTGCAAAATTATGTATAAATTTAGACTAGATTAGTTTAAAAAAAAATTTTTTTTTTTTTTTTCAGAAGATTAGTTTTTGAATTTCTTTTGAATTTTATATAAAATTTACAAAATCACCTGTACATGCATTTCATGTATCGATTTAACTTCAAAATGTACAAGTTTAAATAGCAATAATAAAAATAAACACTACGTTACTTTCAGTAAATCGTAGTAAATTTTTAATTTTAAGGTAAATAGTAAATTTTAAGGTAAAATTAGTAAGTTTAAGTAATACATACCAATGCTATACTGTCACCATATTGCATGGCAAAATCGAGAATTTGCAAATGAAAAAGTTGATCACTAGCAGAGAGCATTTACGTTTTTTGGAAATGAGAAAAATATGGAACAGAAGGGATAAGATAATTGCAATAGGCTGTAATGATTGAGGCTAATTTTAAATTGCTAACCAAATTGCCATATTTTAGTGTTTATCAAATTTGATAATCAAATGATTACATTCATTTTTCATTTCTCGAAATTTTTAAAAATGAAAAAGACCTATATTTTTATATTTTGTCACTGTAAATTATGACAAATAATTCTTGTATTGTTTTGATAAATTTTAAAATGTTACAAAAACATAGTTCTAGCTAAATACACAAGCATACATAAAACTACATCAAAAATTTGAGCTAAAAAAAAAAAAAAAAAAAAAGAAAAAGTGAAAAATTGTCATCTGAAATAAATCTTATTCATAATTTGAATCATAAAATTACAAACAATAAAGAGTATCAATCACTCAATGATATCATCATCATCATCATTTTCATTCTGTTGTTTGTGACATAGACGGTTGCACCAAATGCATCACATCAGCAAAACGTATCATATGAGGTACCATTTCTATAAAAATCAAATAAACAATCATTTACTCAAGAATTTCCACAAATACTTTCCAGAGGGAATTTCAATACAATTCAAAAAAAGAAAAAATTCGTAGCTAAAAAAAAAAAAACAAAATTTGAGTTAAAAAAATCAAAAAAAAATGTAGGCAACAAAATGGATTCTTTATGTAACAAATGAAAAAAAAAAAAAAAACTCAAATGTTCCAAGTTAGATTTTTCTATCCATTTGTTATTTTTTGATAAATAATTACAAAAAAAAAAAGCAAATGAAATATCAAAATTAATACAAACCGTGCAAGAATTCAAGTTTATCATTATCTTGAATATAATCTGCCAAATGAGAATATTCCATACATTTTGGTTTGTCATTTGATTCATATGATTCTTTCGCTAATTTGCATACAAAAAGTTCCTCAAAACAATGCATTTTCATATTAACTCTACGAAAATGAATAATTTAAATAAATATTAACGTTATTTGCACTTTGAGATAAAAAAAAAAAAAAACCAAACTACATGAAATTCAATTCAGTTAAAAATTTGTGCTCAAATTAATCAACATTTTAGTTCCAGTTATTTTAGTTTTTAATAGCTATAAATAACTTTTTTATTAGCTTACAAATACATTTAAGCTTATTTCAGTTTCTTGATTTGTATGTATGAAAAAGAGCTAAAATTTAAATTTTCACAACAAAATAATATCATACTAAAACGATGATCCATTAAATTAAATTTAAATGATAAAATAATATCATCATATCATACTAAGTAAATTTTAATTTATTATTTTCTTTTCAAAATCTTTTTCAAATAGCAAAAGAAAAAAAAAAATACTTACTGCAGCTTTAGTCATAGCAAATAAGCCTTCACTGGAGATTGGTACCTGTTCACCACCACTTTGCATAATTGTCCTAACTCGTGCTAGAGGTAACTCATGTTGTGCATTCAACACTGAAAATGATGATGAAGATGGTGCTTCATTTTCAGAGTGATCAGATCTTCGAAATGTCACCAACATTTGATCATCATCATGCGAATCACCACTATCATCGTTTACAGCCATCTTCATTTTCAGTAGCAGTAGCAATAAAACAGATCTATAATTTTAAAATATTAAAATATATCACAAATTCATTGTCATATAAAAAGTACGAGAAATTAATGCTATTAGCAATTTTTCTTTTTTCCAGCATATCTTATTTAAAATTAAGCAGTGGAAATTTTTTTAAAAAATTAAAAGAAAAAGCACTAAAAACAATCTCAAAAACCTTAAAACTGTATAAAATACCAGAAAAAATTAACATTGCATTGTTTTATCATGCCTAATTTGACAATAATTCACAACAGTTATAGTAACAGACTATTTTTCTCATTTCAAAAATTTTTTCAATCTCTATACACCACTTCAATGCAAAAATATAATTTTAAAAGTTAAGATAATATGTATTGTGATATTGTGGCATTATGTTGCATTACACAAAACTGATTCAAAAAAGTATAAAATTTATGAATTACAATGAGGAAAGCAAATAATTGTGATCAACGTACAAAGTGAAATCATACAAATAAAAAAAAAATAAAAAAAATTAATCATTTCGCCACAAGCAAAACTTTCTTTAAAAATTAGTTCATAGCAAAAAATTACACATAAAAAAAAAAAAAAAAAAATTAGTTCATAGCACGAAATTAAACACAATAAAGCAATTTTTGTATCACAGAAAATGAAGAAATTAAATAAGACTTCAATAGATAGGTTCGCAGCTGTATTAAAATTATTTAATCTTTCAAAAAAAAAAAGTGCAGTTGCAATCAATTTAAAGTCAAGAAAAATATTGTGATATAAATCACCAAATAAAGTTATGAAACACACAGAAAATACAGCAGCACTAAAAATTTACTGACTTCATCAAATTTTTACAAATAAAGGTTTTTGTAAAAATTTGGTGAAGTCAGCAAATTTTCATCATTGACGACAAAAATATTCTTTAGTGCATGATTCACTCGTAATTCTTTTTTAAAATTAAGTGCAACGATGTTAAATTTTAAATGCTATATACTTTAAAATATATTATTTAAAATAAGCATAAATAATTGAATTCACAAATTGTCAAAGATATCAATGTAATGCATATGTTCTTTTCCAAAGCCTTCTCTTCATGTCTGTTTCACATTCTGAAACAACGCGAATAAAAAAATAAATGAAAAATAGAAATAAACGAGGAACAGCACAATGACGTTGAAAATTATGCAACTTTGTGATGTAAGTCTTATTATAATAAAAATAAAAAAAGCATACTACCAACAACTAGTAGTACTCTTTCTCTTGTTAAACTAACCTACACTAGACTATCACTAGTTAAAGAAAAAACAAATTGCTAAGCAACAGTGAAATGAGAATTGAATCAAAACAGATATACCTTTATGGATCACAAAATAACACCCTTTTTTAGATTCAGATCCTGTACTTCACCTTGCCTCTGATTTTATCGGTACTGTTCCGGTGCTGAAATCTATAATCACTATAATAAAAAAAAAAGCAGCAGAATGGAAAATATGGAAAGAAGCAATAAAAGATGAGAAAAATATTTTTTGAAGTTTCAAATAAACCACTCAGAAAATATCACGCAATGATGGGTTGAAGAAGCTACAAATCAGTAAAGCTATAGGATTTGTAGCAGCGTATATCAACGAGTTATAAAATTAGAAAAAAAATGATTGAAATAGACACCCATATGGACTTGATAAATAACATATCCAAATACATCTTGGAATATTGCCATTCTTTTATTAGTCTCAGGACTTTGAGGAAAGCTAATCATTTGCATGACGATAGCTAATCTTCATAATTGTCTCATAACTACTGAAAAATCATTAAAGTTAAGCTAACCATAATGTTGTTGATTTCCTTCAAACTCTTGTTTTCGTGCTCGTTTGCTGCGCTCATCAGCTACTTTTTCACCTTCCACAAAACGTGTACCACTAGTCGGTAAAATCGAACTGTTACTGTCACCGTAACTTACATTATAGCAATATTTCGAATCCTGCATAAAGGCTAATTTCTCAACATGAGGTAGAGTAGCATAACATTGAAACAGAAAATCATATCAAATGTATATATAATGTGCAATTTTTAATAGAAAAAAAAATGCTAAACATATGGTGATCAAATTTTCATATTTATCCGTGCATTAAAATAAGAAATATATTATACAATGAAAACTCACATTTAAATTTCCTTCCAAAATAATTGCTTGCTCATCATTCGCTATAGTAAGTTGACCAGTTTCAAAAAGATGTTGAACGCTTTCGATATCATCAAATTGAATTTGCACCTCCTCATCCTCTCCTAATTCGATCTTAAAATATGTAACGTTAAGGAGTGACCATATTTTCATCAAATAATTGAATTTACATGATAATCTACACGATAATAGCAATAATGAGAGACTTTATTCTACAGCTGATGACAGCTAATGTAAGTCAGATAAATGAATTTTAAATATGAATAGTTAATTTCTGTGCCTCCCAAATAATTTGTGCCCTGTAAATCGGCAAATTATCGCCTTCACCAGCTTGAAGCTACAGTTTGAACTTGCTTTAGACAAAACTATCCTCATTCATCAATGAGCTATCTACAATAGTCTAGTAAGACATGGAATAATAAAATAAAACATGAAATAATATCTAGAATACCATCTCATTTATAAATGATGACAGGCTAAAAGTGATTACTTTGGGCTATTCAGGAGATATAAGACAATAGTTCAAGCCAAGTTCTACAATAAAACTAAGTACGTTTAGTTCTTATCAGACAACTACTAGACATGTATGTAAAGCTGGAAAGTACAAATTGTGTGCAAGCCTATTTGGAAAAGAGAAAGAGAATGAAGAAGAGAAAGAAAAAAAAAAAAAGAATGAAAACGAAGCAAATCCAACTGGTGGATATTAAAGTTTATAGTATATCTGTGCATAGTATGTGTGACTGCATCTCAAAATCAAAAGGAATCAATATTACTTCAAGAAAAAAAAGAAGATAAAAAATGTATTAATACATACAACTTCCCCGTTTTCATCGATGAATATCTGATTTCCATCAGCGTCCTCTTCAATACGACAAACACGACGAATGATAGGTTCTGATGTAACTACTGGCTAAAATATTTGCAAAAATCAAAGAAAAAAAAAAAAAATAACCAGGTATCAGAAACCATACCAACCCAAAAATGGGATGCATTTTAACGGCATAACTTTACACTGTCATTTTTTGACATATCAGCAATGGTTTCAAAAAGAAACAGCAGTCGATTTTTCAGTGGATATAAAACATAAAAAATATAGTGTGAAAATAAAAAATATTTGCTAATAATTTTACTTTCGTAGAAAAAAAAAATTACCTCTTGAACAGGTACTTCGGGTGCAAGTGTCGGAGGAGGTTCAACGTTATCACTATCATCTGCCTGCTTCAGTGTATTCCCCGATTTCTCTCGGGTTTCTACAAATTAAAACATTTACCATTTACAACCGAAATGATCAATATTATGCGATGATGCTTTATTAAAAACATCATTTAAAGATATGTATAAATATACCTGTACAGCGTTGTTTTGTAGATGTAGCTGTTTCTGTATCTTTCTTTGTAGCTGTATCATTTTGAATATGATGACGTACTTCTGAAGGATGAACGGCTTTTACGTGACGCTCAACAGCGCGTTCACCGTAAAATACCACTCCTACCAACAATGAAAATGTAAGAAAACCTGATAAGAAAAAAATTAAACTGCAAATGAAATAAAAGTACAAGAACAAATGTACGTCTCGCATGAATCCATAAAGCGAAAAAAAAGAAATCGAAACCAGTCTAACAACTGATGATGACCAGAACAAGTAAATCTGATCATGCTACGACGGCTACTGGCTGGAAGAGAGTTCCAAAATAACGGACAATATTTCCATGAAAACATATGCCACTAACCACAAACAGGACATGATTTTCCATTCGGTAAATCCGGCCGCATAACCATTAGTTCAAACGGTGGTCTTGTACGAAAATGAGGGAAAGATGCAGGTGAGTTATCCGGAATTTCCCGCTTATTAGCAATCATTTTTTTCTGCGCAGATGATAACTGTAAATTTCTTTGTGCCAGTGCTCGTACCGCACGACGCAATGCAAGAGCATCAAACTAAAAAATTTAATGTGTAACTAATGTAACTTCAATAAAATGTGATAAAAATTTAATATTTCATTATAAAAATAAGAACTTTATAACTAGACTTGAAAATACGCTGCTAACAGTTTTCTGATTTATATATTATTCGCTGAATAACATGCGTGCAAACATAGTGTATGAAAGAAGCGCAACAATACATGTAAGATGCAAAGCTATAACTGAAAATTTACATCAAAAATTGGAAAGGACGGACAATAACTTTAAATTTAAGTAACAAATAAAAAGATCTAAATTTTTACTTATGAAAATTATCCACATGAAAAGTTAAATATACAAGTCATACTTACCTGCTCCCTTTTTTCTAAATCAATGTATAACTTCGTATATGGACAAGAACGACGATAATGTGAAAGAAGATTATAGTCGTATTTGAAACGATTACCACAAAGCACACATGGATGTGATCCAGTAGTGGCATGAAAACCCGCAATATGTCTCTCTAATCTGCAACATATATGTGTACATATATTCAGCCTCCTATGATACTTTACCACAACTACGTATTCACACGGATGTATGTGATCCCTAAGCAGGAGAAGTTGGCACAGACAACCAAGGAAATAAGCAACAAGTTTAATGTCTCGCATATATATTGTAAACAATGTGTAAATGTTTACAAAACATAAGATTGGAAAATATAAGCAATATTTTATCAAGGATTTACAGAACATATTTCTTATCCATATTCTCTATGTTTTTAGAGTTTCGCGTATTAAAAACCCGAGACACACCTTAAGTAAGATTTAATACTGTTAAAGTAAGATGAAATGTTAATTTCAGACTTACCTTGCCATATTAACAAAAGTGCGGGAGCATACCGAACACTGCACCATGC